CAACTCCCAGAATTCCCCAGCCAGCCATGGGAGTTGAAGTCCACTCATCTTAAAGTGGCCAGGTTTGGACAACACTGCCCTAGACAAACGGCTCTCGTGGATGATTTGACTGGTTTTCCTGCACCTTGAAGAGGGTTGGTCTAGATGATCCTTGGAGTACCTTCCAACTCCACCATCCTAGGATTCTGTGAGCTGGGCTTGCAAAATGTACATTGTCCCCACTTTTCCTGTGCTCATGCCTCCTCTTCTTTCCCCTGCTCTCTCCAGGCACGCCAAGGTGAAAGGAAAATTTAAGGAATCTTACTTGTCCCCCAGCCACTCCGTCAAACCGCAGATCAACGTGGACGAAAAGCTCCCGCGGGATAAGCTCAGCCCCCCAACTCCGAGCATCTACGTGAGTGTCTGTTTTTCAGGATAGCAGGAGGGGGCTGGAGGAAAAGCTACCTGGAGCAGGGCTGGTTGTGGGGGGGCTGTCTGTGTGAGATCTTTGTGGAGGTATAAGAAACAGGGCTCTAGGTGTGCCAGAGCATCTTCGCTGCACTACATAAGCCAGGATATTGGCTTAGTTTTCAAAGACCAATAAAAGGGGCAGCAAAGCTTCTAGCCCTCATGGCTGAAGAGGTCGACCTTAAAATGTGCCGGGAGTTTCCTGGCGAACGTTCAGGAGCCCCAAAGGGCAGAGCAGAGCCATCCGGCAGGAGGCAGTGGGCAAAAACCGGGCTGAGACGACACCAGTGACAACTGTTTGCAGCTCCGTGGGCTGGTTCTGGCCAGGAATCAGGGCCCTGCTAGCCCAGCCCTCCTCTTCCCGCTCCTGCATTCTGGGGTGTACACAGAGGGGTCCCCGACACTGGGGATCTGGGATTCGATTCCTCCTGGGTGCCTCCAGCCCAACCCACGGAGTGAGGCTGGAAGCTAACCGGGAGGGCTTCGGTGCAGTCCCTGGGGCCTTTGGAAGAAACCCACCTTGTTGATCTCCGTCTCCTGTCCTTCAGCAGTCCTGCTCACCCCGTCACCGTCTCATCCTCACATTTGAGGTTTCCCCAACTATGTTTTGTGTTGGCTTTTGTTTGTTCCAAAGATTCTTCCCCCCAACGGGAGATTGGTGGTCAAAAAGCAATCCCTCCACCCTGCGGTACCTCGATGCCTGGCTAGTCAGGCAGATATCTGACAGCTGTTTATTGAGGCAGATTTCATAGAGTTGGAAGGGACCTCGGGGGTCATCGAGTCCAGCCCCTGCAACTGGAGGAATCACTACCCTACCCCCGATAGAGGACCATCCAGCCTCTGCTGGAAAACCTCCAGCGAAGGGGAAGAAACTCCTGCCTGCAGGAACCCATGCCACCAATTGACAGCTCTTCCTGTCCAGGAGTCCTTCTTATGTCTCATCTGCGTCTACATCCTTGAAGTCTCATCCCACTCCTTCTAGTCTTACCCTCTGGAGCAAGTGAGAATAAGTCCATCCCTTCTACACCTGTGTTTCACAACCTTGGCACCTTTAAGCCGGGGGGACTACACCTCCAAGAATCCCCCAGACAGCATGCGGTCTGGGGAATTC